GTAAGCAAAAACCATGGCAATGGTTTAGATGGTATCCTTTCAAAAACTGTAAATAATTTCCATGGCCACGTTAGTTTGAAACGCCTTGTCAACTTGTTTTATATGTTACAACATTAGCTGTCAGTATTTCAATTTTAAGTTTAAAGTTCGTAAACTTCAAGTCTGACAAATGGTTAGATTAAATTTGATGCATAAAATGATTGGTTACGGAGATAAAACCCGAACAGAACAAAAAGTAGCTCGCCTATTTCATGAGAAATTTTCTAATTTACCGTCTATATCTCAAGGAACAATAAGCAAAATATAGAAGCAGTTTCGCGAGCTTAGTCATGTGCGGCAGATAAAAAAAGCAGCTGCCAATGCAATGAGTGATGAGCTCTAATTAGATGTGATACTTTAGTTTGAGGAAAACCCACATACATCGACTAGACAGGCATCCACTACATTCAATGGTAGCCATACATCAATAGTAAAGATATTGAAAGAAAATAAAATGCATTCCTATAAAATGATACCTACTCAGGGGCTCATGGAAGCCGATTTTTATAGAAGAACTTATTTTTGTGAGCTAATGATGGACATATTGGATAACAATATCATCCAATTAGAAGACGTTATGTTTTCTGATGAGTGTACTTTGTCTCTCAACGGTCACGCTAATCGGCAAAATTGCCGCTACTGGTTAACGGAAAATCCTCACTGGATGAAAGAAGAACACACGCAATAACCTCAAATGGTTAATGTTAGGGCAGGAATTGTAGGAGCTTATTTTCTGGTGAAATTTGAATTTACATACTGCAAATTCGTGATCATATGTTCTATTGGATAGTAATGTACGTGTCTGACCTATGTATACATTGTATACCCATGTAACCCCTCCAGAACACTTTAAAAAAAGACCAAGATATAGATCATACGGAACATATATCAAAATTGTGGATGTTTAGTTAAATTCACTATAATTTCATGTCCATTATAATAACCAGAAATGAACATTGTACATAACAAACTTTGGAGAACGCACAATTAATTCCTTTGTTAATAACTGAAACAATTCGGCTGTTAATTCGTACAACAGTGGAATATGTATGTTGTTTTTAATGTTGGGAAATGCTCACTGAGAATGCGCTTTACAGTTATAATGAGCCTTTCGCGTATGACAAACACGAACTAATGGAATTGATGTCATTAAGTCAACATTGTTTCCAGCTCGACGCCAGTCTAGATGTTCGTTTGGTTTTCGAATATGGAGACAAAGCCAGATAACGTCATCTTTCCTAGTGGATGCAGAATAACATCGTGTATGTTAATTCCGTGTATATTGTCAACGGCGTATTTATGCACTAGAGTTACAATGTGACAAAGAGGCTTCGAGGCACTATATCCTCCGCTTGTCTCGTTAATGGGATTTTTTAGCGATGTGAGATACCAGGGTTGTGAGAGAAGTATTCAAAATATTGAAAACTGGATGATCCTGACTGACACTTACTTTTTGTAACCAATATTTTCAAATACTTTTGTAAACCTTCCAGTTTGATGTTTTCATCTTCCCCTCTTCTGTGGACACACCTTTTAAAAATATTGTATTGAGACTAATTTTCTGTAAATTTTCGAAAGATATTTGAAGTTAATATATGTCTGGAGGTCTAGAGATGAAAAAAATATTGATATGTACTTTCATAAGTACTCACTTACAAAGAGAAGCCAATAAACGATCTTATTGATAATTGACTGAAATTGAGTCATAACAAACATGAAACAGCATGAAAAGTTCCTCACCTCATTTTCATATTATTTGGTGATTTTAGGTATTCCTAAAAACTTTCAGTAGTAGTCGCGATCTCATTTTTCGTGAGTCTCACCATTCGAGATAAAAACAATCGGTTTGAGAGTTTAAATTCTTTCACTCAAAACCCCGTCGAGTTTGAATCATCTCTCAACTGCGGAGAAAAGGTTTCTTTGTGTCACAAAGAAAATGGGATTAATGAAGTCCACTTTCTACAAAAATTATGTCAGTGGTTAATATAAATCAAAATAGGTTTCAAATTCAGATTCAACAACCCTGAAAACACCTTTTTATGAGAGATATTCGAAAAAATTAGAAGAATAGTTGTGAAGGGATGAATGAAAAATCTAGTTTTCATAGGAAATATTTCTACTAAAATATGAAATATTCTATTCATATCACAGAGAATACTAGAATCATCGAGAAAAAACCGTATATATTTATTCAAAAAACTTTGATGTGATATGGTGCAGAATGCCATTCAAATTGTTTGACTAACATTTTTGCATGTTAAGTATCGACACTCTACAATAAGTCAATACCCGTAAGGAAAAATTGTTGTAACATAAGGTTTTTTTTTTCGATTTGTATCTGAAAAAACTGTGGATGATATTGATATTTCCACAGAGACAGTTTTCACTCATACATGTATTGTCCTCAGTGAAAAAGTATAAAGTAAAATGACAAAAAAGCTTTATTCATAGCATAACTTGACTGTAAAATAGTTTTTTCAATAATGAATATGTGGTATTTTAAAACTCTTTCCGTGTTCGTGGTATTTGAAAAAATAATTTCCTACCAAATATAGAAGGCCCATAGACTACAAGTCATTATCGTCATTCCCCGGCATCGCCTTTGTGCGTGTTTTGAGTTCACTTGTGAGACACCCAAGCTTGATATAATAGCGTTTATGTTGGTTAGAAATTCTCTTCGTGAAGATAACACTCTTCTAGAAACTTGCCGGCGATTTTAATCACCTGCAAATGTTATAGTCATCTCACATTATCAACATCATTATTTCCTTGTCAGGTCATAAAAGTGCACGCACTTTCACTTCAAGGACTGAGTGATACTGTTTCTCTGTTTCAGTATCACAATGACTTGCCTTTTACAATGTGGAAAATGCTTGTATTCATCTAATGATCACATGAAAGGTTGAGGCCTCGAATACCAATTGATTATTTTTCCTAAAAGGTTTTCAAAGAAAATACTCTGTCCTCTACAAGCTAAGTAGTTTTTTTTTTGTATAAAGCACTTGTTCATCAATGGTAAGATCTAATTACAGTTGATTTCGAACGTACAAATATTCACTGTTTTAGCTTCGCCATTGTAGGGCTCGTCAAGATAATGAACAATAGTATATGTCACATTTGTTTGCTGTTGAAAATCCCTCCAACACTGGAGGCCATTGCATTTTGCACCCATCTTTTCATATCACCATTCATAACAAAATTCTTTTGGACATTAGTTCGATTAACCATAAATTGTTTGTTTTCTAGGAGAAGCTCTCTATCTATGTTTCTTCATTCAATTTTCTGTAGTTGGAATTTTCAATGTACAACCATCTTTTATTCAAGCGTCCTGTAAATAAAAAGTGTCCACTAATTGGCTCTGTGAAAATTCTGAGATGATCCTTGTGCTGTCAAAGTAGTTCTTTAGTTGTTTCTCCCTTTATGAAGTTTTGCCTACATGCATCTCATTTGTATTGATCTACTTCCTGATGTATAGGTACTCATCAACATAATCGTTGATTGCTCAGAAATGATACTAATAAAAACTTGGACAGTTCAAATACATGATAAGGTCTGATCTTTTTGAATTGTTCAGGGACAATTTGATCTTTCAAAAAAATCAACGTTGATGGTGAATGATGGCCACTTATAAGACAAAATATATATCGATTACAAAAAAAGGTATTATGTGAAGCAGTTCATTTGGTGGTCTTTGTTTTCGAAAACCATATTGGTCGCTTGAGATATCCGAACATTGTAAAACTTCAGCAATTATAGTTTTTTCTATGATTTGTTATTTATTTTCTGCACAGGAACTGATCCATAGTGATTTGAAAGTTAATTTTTGGCTTTTCAAGTATTCTTCTTTCCGACATCCATACAGTCATTCGCCATAATATTTTTCTCGCTCACAGTAAAGTTTATGTCAACCTCAAATGATTATTAATTCCAACCAACAACACCCTAGAGCTTGGATATAATCCAGTTTCGATTGAATTTCCAATTTTGGATATTCGCATTTCAGTTACAGCTCCATTGAAGAGCAACTTGAATCTATTTTCATGAATAAACATCAATCAGGCGTAACAAACAAGATTCTATCAAACATAAATCGTCCTGAATCCTGATTGTTTTAGTATTTTGTAAATGGTCTCGCGCTCTAGAACATCATGTCGTACATTAATGGATTTTTCGAAATAATTGCCTAGGGTGTACTTAAATACCACTGATAAGCGATAGAAAATAGATGTATTCTTGGGAAGGATTTGCATACATTACAGATCGTATTTGATATAAATCGCTGGATTTTAAGTAGCGATAACTCTTGCATATCGAGAGGCAATTACCACAACAGCTGTTGGTCTCCAGTGATAGGGACATGTAAATTATGGTATGAGAGGAAATGTAATGGACTGTTAAATACCTTCCTTGAGAACAGCTTTATGTAGTTTCTAATGTGAAATAGACGATTCAAAATGGTAATTTCGAAAAAGCAGATGGTAATCACAGAAGCTGATGATACAAGGATCATACAGGTTTAATTTCTGTATATGTACAAGTTGAACTACTTAAGAGAAGTTGAGTGAGTAGTCGACAGTTGTTGGACAAATTAACATGAATTGAAGATTAATAATCCCATATTTGCTGTTTTCATGACGTCTCGAAATGAAAATGACTGAAGAATCACTGAGATATTAATAAACTCATGACAAACCCTTTGGAAAATCAGTTGCTTCAGTCTCTTGAAAAAGATATATTTGTTATCTATCTGACCAAAAAGTAATATCAAGTACATTTTTAGATTATTTCATCGTCAGCAAGATGAAAAAATTTTCAGCAGAAAGAACAATTCGAATTTTTTTCTGAAAAGCAGTAAATAGTAGAAAATATATCAGAAAAAAGCTTAATCTAAATAATATGATATATCAAACAGATCAAAAATGTTTCATTACTAAGTGTTATTTCCAGAAATTAATTTGTTTTTTTTGTTTCAGGTAAATGTCACCGCCCATTAACATTTGCTGCTCATCACCAATGAAGGTAAAAATATAAATATATATTTATTTGATTCTGTCACGATTTATTACGAATATTCCTCCTTCACTCCACCAATGTTCAAACTAAAAAGACAAGCTTCGAAAATCAGAAAACAAGAATTTACTTATGTCCTTCCTTTCAATTATTTTATTTTGGGGGTTGAAATGGACACCAATATATCTTGGCACTATAATGTCGCTTGAATTGCAAAGGCTGCTTCTCAAAAGCTTGGAACACTGTTCCGAAGCAGAAAACTGTACACACCTCAGCAAGTTTTGATGCTTTATAGAGCTCAGATCAGACCTTCTTTGGAAGTTCCCATGTATGGAGCTCCGCCCCAAAGCATACTCTGAAACTACTGGATTCCATCCAGAAAAGAGACATCCGCCTGATTGAACACGCGAACATCACTTGCATCCTTGATAGACTGGAACATTGTAGACGCGAACATCACTTGCAACCTTGATAATGTGAAACATCGAAGAAAGGTTGGAGATTTGTCTCTCTTTCATACTTTCACGGGAAGTGTTCAAGTGACTTGGCACATTTGATTTCGCCAAGAGCGGTACATAACAAAAATACGCGACTGACTGTGACTGCTCATCGTTTTGAGGTTCAACTCAGTACTCCTCGAACTTCACTATCCAAGAGAACTACGTTAATGTGGGATAAATTTTCTGAGAACGTTGGATTAAATTTCCAGCGATTCAAATCCAATATAAATCGCTACTTTCGCACTGGTACCGGCTCTAAGATCAGTGACTGTACCTTATGGACTTTTCTGTAGTTCTAATGTTTTGTCCTTGAAAAAATATAACCCGCATATCTTCGATTTAATCGTTTTCCGTTTGGTATAGCTTCACTTCTATAAGCTTCTGCTATGCCAAACTTCGAAACAACAACCCAAAATAAAAGAAATTGTTCAATTGATGATAAATTTATACATTTTCCACTCTCGCCTTCGTAAATAGACATTATCTGAAGCTTCCGAAATAAATTGCTGAATTTGCTATAGTACTCGGGATTTTTTGGCATGGTGAGCATCTGATCCATGCTTTAAAAATGCGCCTAGAGTAAAATATTAGGATATATCTATAATATTGTATCCAAAGTAGCCTTCAACATAGAATATGTAGACCATATAGTTAAAGAATCCAATTTTTGGCTAATTCTACAAAATAAGTCAGTAAAACGTTTTCTGAAAATGGTTCGATCTTCTTGTTATTTCGGTAATTCTCTAAGATATTTCATATCTTCATCACTTTCCATTATTTTCGAAAATATAAAAAGAAATTGGAAGCTCTTAACACATATCAATCTTTTCTCCAAACTCTTTACTCTCGAGATGAACGAATAAAAAATGGCGAATTTCAACCAAACAAATCGTAAAATGTACATGGCAACTTAAACTATCCTTAGGAACAAAACTTGTAATGTGATTCGAGCAGGACAATGAAATTAAATAATCACATCAACGGCACAAATACCAATAACTCTCTCTGTACACACAATTATTATCCATGTTTAATGTTATATTATCATCTTTCGGTAAATACGGTATAAACAACAATCAGAATATACTGCTTCGCCTTATATTCCGCTTCGGCTTCGCCTCACCAATGACATGCCTAGCCACGTCAGTAAATCTGCCTACTTGAACGAATTAGTATTTATTGGCGTTCATTTTTTTAAGATTCCCACATTTTATGTTGAATGGTTGAAAAAATAGGAAGCCAAAAAGCTTTTTTGTTCAGAAATTATTCTTTCCTTAAAGATTCCGTTTAACAATCACATGTTTTCAATATTTTGACAATGTTTCCGGTGTTGAAAATGGAGAACCTCTCAATATGTTATTTGTAATGATTTTATCTACCGAAGCTAATAGGTTAAATCCTACTATTGATTTTTTTTTGAAGAACACGCTTTGTCCACCAGCACCCGCCTAAATAGAAGCGTATTCATCTAACACAAGTATGGATACACAAACCTTTGAAAATATTGAATCCAACAGGAACCCTAAAACTCTCGTAATCCTGATTTTCTCCTCCCACCATGAATATTCATTTATTTATTCAACGGAAAAGCCAATTTACAAAAACATATTTAACAAAGTGTGAGAAACTATAGAGTAGGTATTTTTGAATGCTCATGTCTGCTGGTGACAAAACAATTTACAATTTTACAAAACATTTAGCGAAGTGTGAAATACAAAATATTAATAAATCCTTGTCTAGTGACTACATTACTAAAAGATTAAACAATTCTGGTACTTACAAGAAAAAAAATGTAACAAATCTAGTACTTGCAAAAAAAATGGTGAGGCAAAGAAAAGCTTCAAAAAAGCTATAGCCTTTTCAATTGATTTTTGAAGACCTGAAGTGATACATTAAACAGATCAAAGTTATTATGATAATGATTTCCCAGCTTCAGAATACGAGGAATCGGACTGAGCATAATTGGTATGGAAAAATTCATATAAACAATGNATCTTCTGCTATACTCCAATGACTGGATGGAATGTGTGGTCTCCTACCGGAAACTGTTAACACGTCGTTGGACCACGAAACATTCCAATCAAGTTCGAATGTTATCCTTTTTCAGCCTCTATTCAACAAAAGTAAAAAAACATGCTCATGCAATTTGCTCGTTTCATCCTCCACATCGTTAGAGTTTGATGGATGATATGACTGAACGACGTGAAGGACTAAATATCAGTCGTGTCGATTGATAGGACAAGGTAATTGCCAATAATTTACGTGGTTCACTTTCCGATGTAATATCTCGTCTGAAAAAAGATTGACCTGTTGCCCCTGTTCCACGTAATTTCACACGATGTTTTCCTCCCGATCATAATTCTCTCAATGACCTAGATATTGATTCACCAGTATTTAGGTACACGCTATTTATAGTCTGGGATTTTCCACAATAGTATTCATCTAGCTGAGTGGATTCAGTTTGGAAACATGTATGCACTGAAGTTGAGAAAACCTTTGTAATGTAAAGTAATGAAACGATCATATACCGGGTATTAACGAATCTATTAGACAAGTCATAACTTCTAGACAATTAGGTGTATCAAAATGAGATTTGTTATGGGATAATGTTATTTGAAAAGGAAAGTTTCTCACACATCTTTCACTTTCCGGTTTCACCGGAAATGACTCCGGTTGTGAATTTTTATAGATTGAAGTTCGTTACCTACAAGTCTGACAAATTGTTAGGTCAAAATTGATGCATAAAATGATTGGTTACGGAGATAAAACCCGAACACAACAAAAAGTAGCAGGCCTATTTTATGAGAAATTTTCTAATTTACTGCCTATATCTCAAGAAACAATAAGCAAAATATAGAAGCAGTTTCGCGAGTTTAGTCATGTGCGGCAGATAAAAAAAGCAGCTGCCAATGCAATGAGTGATGAAGTCTAATTAGATGTGATTCTTTAGTTTGAGGAAAACCCACATACATCGACTAGACAGGCATCCACTACATTCAATGGTAGCCATACATCGATAGTAAAAATATTGAAAAAAAATAAAATGCATACCTACTCAGGAGCTCATGGAAGACGATTTTTATGATGGACATGTTGAATAACAATATCATCCAATTAGAAGACGTTATGTTTTCTGATGAGTGTACTTTGTCTCTCAACGGTCACGCTAATTGCCGCTACTGGTCAACGGAAAATCCTCACTGGATGAAAGAAGAACACACGCAATAACCTCAAAAGGTTAATGTTTGGGCAGGAATTGTAGGAAAACATACCATTGGTCCCTTTTTCATTAAGGGCAACTTGAATGCCGATAGTCATTTGGCACTACTTCAAAATGATGTCATTCCAAGTTTGGCAAATTTATATCCTGATCCAGGAAACCCCTCAAGTTCCAGTGAATACGATATAGTTTCAGCAGGATGGAGCACCACCACATTACTAATTTAATGCCCGGCAATACCTCGATACACCATTTCCCAATCGGTGGATAGGGAGGCGAGGATCGACTGAATGGCAGGCACAATCACCTGATCTTTCATCATTACATTTCTTTTTATGGCATGACAATAACCGTGACAATTTTACAAAAAAATTCTCAACATCATCATCTGAACACTAGAACTGAACGTTCCCCTCACAAAATCTTCAGTGTCATATGAGTCCTCTGATGATATTACAATTCTCATTTTTAATAAATTACCCCATACATCGTTTTCTTAGGTAGCATATTTTATCAAAAGTTCAAAGAATTTTCTGAAATTATTATTCCATTAAGGAATTTTGGTAATAGTGCCTGTGTTGACTCTTTATTGTGTGTTATGTTCTGTTAGGTTGATATAAACGAATCACTTTCCTTGTAGCTTACGACTTCTCAACAGTTGTTATTGTATTTATGTAAAAACAAAAAAGGAAAAAATCAAAATTCACTTCTACTTACCTATCCTATTCAGATATTGAATTGTTACCGTAAGCTTATTTTCTGGTGAAATTTGAATTTACAGACTGCAAATTCGTGATCATATGTTCTATTGGATAGTAATGTACTTGTCTGACCTATGCATACATTGTGTACCCATGTAACCCCTCCAGAACACTTTAAAAAAAGACCAAGATATAGATCATACGGAACATATACCAAAATTGTGGATGTTCAGTTAAATTCACTATAATTTCATGTCCATTATAATAACCAGAAATGAACATTGTACATAACAAACTTTGGAGAACGCACAATTAATTCCCTTGTTAATAACTGAAACAATTCGGCTGTTAATTCGTACAACAGTGGAATATGTATGTTGTTTTTAATGTTGGGAAATGCTCACTGAGAATGCGCTAATGTAAACTCATCTGTCATTATAAAATCGAAATTGTTCCATCCACTGATTTCATTTTGCTGCGCCCATGGCAGAAGTACATTGCACTTGCTCTTTCACCCATGCACGGTGTCTGATGGGCTTAGAAGATCCGCCTATCTCCCACGCCATGGGTGCCATATCATCACCATCA